TCAAACCATGGCTTGGGCAGTAATTAGGATACTGTCAGGCCAAGGTTTCAACTCGACACATAAAGGGGATTAGGGGTAGGGATTCATATGAGAACAGAAGCAAAGAAAGGATAAATACTTAGCATAAGTTACGAAGCATGAACAGCAAACCACACAAAAGAATGAGACTACAGAATAAACATATAGGGATGGGGCAAAAGTTTAAATAACGGCATACCAGTTTCAGAAAGAGACAAGCAAAAGAGAGCAAAAGTCTTGCAAAGAAGCCACAGCACAAACATCAAGAAAGAATACTTTGTGTGTGAGTGTGAGTGCAGAAAAGACTCTAGTGTTCGTGTTTTTGTTGTGTTTGGTGTTAATAAAAGAGGTATTTATAGTGTGAGAAACATGCAGAAATAAGGTAAGGACTGTAATTCGGACATAATTGTAGGAATATGTGTCTTATTAAAATCAAATCAGTATCAAAGACTTCCTTTAATAAAGCAATTAAACCAAACGGTAGCATGCAAGTGTTAAATAAGGAAAGAAATCACGCAGGGCTGGACATGACAAATAAGGAAATATTTTCAGCACAGTACGAGTATACCACATGTATTAGGGGTTAAGTTCATTAGACCTTAATTAAGGAAAGGCCTGTAAGAATCCCATACTAATGTAATTAAGGTAATGGGATCAAATCAACTTAAGTAGAAAGGCAGGGTCGAAAGGAAAATATTTTAACAAGTCCAAGAAACAAAGGAAATCAAAACAATAAAGGAAAGAATCAATTCAAGAGTGCAATCAAAGTTACACAAAGAGATTTGAAATCACTCCACAATCAAGGTTATTTTGAGAGGGAAATTTAACCTATAAAGAGTGCATAAACATTAAGCATGCGAGGCTGGATTTAAGACAAAGAAGAGTGTCATGCAATCAAAGAAAATCAGGGAGTAGAGGACCATAGGAACATGGTAGTCATCTCAGAGAAGAGGGAATAGCATGCGAAAGGTCAAGTAAAGAGGTCAGAATCGTATGAAGAAACAAAGTTGACACAAAGATTTCGAAACTCAGTCGAACAGTAGAGGAAACAACTTCAGGAACTCAAATAGGTCCAAAGAGACTAGGGTTTTGAAATCAACACGTGCAGAGATAAGAAACAAACAAATCACATAACAAATAATCTCAAAACTCGAGTGAACCCCAAATCCTAGGGTTTTTTACCATTAATCGAGTCTAGAGATGAAGACAAGTAAGTCAAGCAAAAAGAAAATATTAACGGAATAAGTGCAGAAATCATAAAGGAATACGTATTTCCCAGTAGAAGAAAAACATAATAAAGAACAATCATGCAAAAAATACAGTAGAAGAACTCGTAAGAACAAGGTAGAAGAAACACAGTAGAAGAAGCACATAAGGATCATAGAAGAAACATAGTAGAAGAAACATATAAGAATCACAGTAGAGCATGTTAAAAAGATCAAAGAAACCCTAAATCGGGGAAGATGAAAAGGTTAAAAAGCAAGTTTTGAAAGAAACTTTTGAGAAAACGTTTGAGACCCCAAGATAAACACAGATCTAGGACAGATCTAGAGAAATCAGAAGAACCTCGAAAGGTTAGGGTTTCAGAAGAAACCTAGAAGTGAGAAAGGCCTTGGAAAACTCGTGGATCTAAGCCGGAGAAGTTAGACTCAGGCTCGAACGTCCACGATATGCCGGAGTAGAGCCGTAGACGACCATGGAACCCTGAATTGAAGGAGATCTGAGTAGAGATCTTCAAGGTTAGGCCTTGAATCTTCAGAAAACTGGTGTACAAGAGCACCAGGGGGTGGGTGTGAGATCCCCATGGCTTTGGTGGCCATAGATTCCGGTGGATCTCTGGTCTGAGACGGCAAGAGGTGGCTAGGGTTTGAGAACCCCTTGAAAGAATTTGAGAGAGTGGAGGGTTTCAGAGGCGGCGGATGAGGAGAAATGAGGTAGGGTAAGGGGTCGTTTGAATTAAAAAAGGAAAGGGATGAGGGGAGCCACTGATCTAAAAGATCAACGGCTGGGATTAAATGGATTAAATGGGGACCGGGTTTGGGTATGATAGGAAAGGGTATGGGTCGGGTTACAATAGAATTGGGTCGTTTGATTAGGGTGTGATTGGGGGTCCAATTTGAGCTAAAATTGAAATACAAAAAGGGCTGTCATTTAAATAGCCAGTTTTCCCCTTTTTAATTTATAAAAATAGTAAAAAAAAATGACTTGAAAATAAATTAAAGGTACTGGACCAATTAATAACATATAAATATTAATGTAAAAATACTAAAAGCGATTTTATAATTATAGAATGCCGTTAATCGTAAAATAGGCTATAATTATAATTATATGCAATTAGCTTAAAAAATTCCAAATAAATGTATAAAAATATACAAAAATTACCCAAATTATATCTTAGGGTAAATATGAGAATGGAATAAATTATTCACTAAAAAATGCTAGTTTGGGAATAATTATTGAATTTTGTAGTATTAAAATAGACAATAAATTGGTTTTAAAATCTTTAAAAAAAATAAAGGAAAAATACCAAAACTTTGTGGCATGCTTATATATGCCTGTACATGCTATTTTGAAAGTATTTTGCATATATAAAAATATAGGGAAAAATTGGGTATCAACAGATATTATGGAGTTGTTTATGGATGACTTCTCCGTGGTGGGGGATTCATTCGAAGATTGTCTTCACAACCTAAGAAGAGTGCTCAAAAGATGTGTGGAGACAAATCTTGTTGGTCCAACTGTATGATTTACTTTGTTTGGATTGTTGTAGAAGTTGTAGACCTTTCGACTATATAGTTATCCCTCGTGTCCACTGATAACAAAAACGAATTGCATAGTACCAAAATACCAATTATTCCACCGTATAACTTTCCTGCATAAGCTTATAGAAAAACTAATTTCCTTGCAAAGATATCAAAGCTAGAGTGCTAGATTTCTATAAAGAACTCGGGAGGGAAAGACGTGAGGAACTATTGCCTCTGCTTTTTGATCTATTAGTCATGTGATGAATTTCCAACTATTTTGTGTTTTTTTGAAGATTTCTTGTTTGATTCAAAGTGGGTGCCGTTAAATATTGCTGATAGTACCTTCTGGAAGTTCATAGAGAAATTTGATAGCATTTGGAGCTGATTTGAGGTGATTGAGATTGAAATTTTCAGCTGAAAATCGAAGAAGAACACAGCTAAAGTATACTGCTACGGTATACAATATGATGTAGGAGTATATAGCTATACTGCAACAGTATACTATTATAGTTTACAATATACTGCAACGGTATATTGTAATAATCGAAGAAGAACACAGTTACCTAACAGTATACCACTACAGTATACAATATACTATAGGAGTATATAATTATACTGCAACAGTAATAGTATACAATATACCATAATAGTATACTTATTACCCGTAAATTCACTTGCCTTTTCCCTTTTAATTTGCTTTAAGCTTTTACCCAACGTGAGGGGCAAATTGAAAATGCAAATCTTTTTTTCGTTTGATTTATTCTATGACTTGAATTCCAAGACTTCTGACTTCTGCAAAACATTAATCTGCCATTAGAGGACCTTGAAGCTTTGAAACTCATAAATTGGGTTTGTTGAGTTTGTGGTTATTTTGAAACTCAAAAAAAGAATTTTTTTTAACTCCTTACGTACAATTGTATACCCTATTGGTATAGCTATATACTATACTGGTATCATATGTTAGTTAATATTTTTGATTGTATTAGCTACATTTAATTGATACACAATTTGATTTTTCTTTAGTAATAGTATAAAAAAAAAGAATAATAAAAAATAGTGAAAACAGTAAATGTAATTAGATTATGAAGAGAAAAAGGAAAAAAAAAGAAGTTAAATGAAATTAGAAAAGGAAAAAAGAAAAAAATAAGAAGAAAACGAGAAAAAAGAAAAGGAGAAAAGAAAAAAGAAGAGAAAAGAAGCATAGAAATAAAAAAGAATTGGAGAATAAAGAAAAAATTTCTCACAAAAACTACTATGGGTAGGAAATGTAATTAGTTTGATGGGTAAAAAAATAAATGGATAGACAAGAGTAAATAGTTTTATTTTTGTGGGTAACTGTGTCATTGTCCCTATATGAAAATCAGTTGAAGATTGCAATGTGGAAGGATATCAAATTCCTACCAGATCCCTATTGTTTGTGAACATTTGGTCCATTGGAAGAAACCCAAAGTATTGGGAGAGCCCAATGGAGTTTCGGCCCGAAATATTGACAGAGCCCAAAAAGGGTGGCCCAATAGATGCAAAGGGGCATTGCTTTGAGTTGCTGCCCTTTGGGAACGGACAAAGAGTTTGTCTCGGCATGCCTTTAGCCATGAGAGAGATACTTGTTGTGCTTGCAACCAATATTCAGTGCCTTGAGTGCAAAGCCATAGATTTGAAATGGAGAGATATTACTTAATGGAGTTGATCTGACAGAACGACCTGGACTAACAACTCCAAGAATCCACGACATGACGTGCCTTTTGGAAGTCTGCTTATTATAAATTATGATCAATTATCTGTAGTCATTTTAATTTTTTTTTTCGTATTGTAATACTGTCAATTTAAAGTTACTTAAACTGGAAAATCATTAATTGGCTTACTATATAGAGTAGGACTTGAGAAGTATTGATTAGTAATATTCCCTGGAGGATTAAGGACATGAGAAGTACTACTCTTTAATGAACCCATTGGATTCTTATATTGTTTCATGTTAAATTCCTTCAAGAAGAAAGTTTCATCCTTGTCACATGAGTAATTCTAACTAACTCCTCTGGAAATAATAGAAGTTTCTCTTTCTTAAAAATACCTTTTATACTTAGGTTCCTATCTGTACATTAAATTCTTTTTGCAATCATTTAACTAATACACTGTTAAGAGTGGAAAGGTTTATACCTAATCCATCTCATCAACTCCTCTCATATACCCTATGAAAGTATCCAATTTCTCTCCATTTTTAGCACATATATATACTCTCATTGAAGTTCTTGTTATTCATCAACTTCATTCTCAAGTATATCAGAAACCAGAGAACCTCTCTTTTCCAAGAATTCTTTCATTAACCAATGGCAACTCACAAATCCATCAACCCTTTACAACTCAAATTCATCATCTCATCCTTACTCATTCTAGCTCTTGCAATAACATTTGCCACAGCAGGTCGAATCCTTGACGAGGAAGTGGCCACCCCAACTGTAGCACCAGAAGATCCTGATACAACCCAGGCGGCACCAGTTTCTGGCGCAGCTGCGGGTAATGGTGCAGCTGCTGGGGTTACAGGTATTAGTTAGAGATAATAGAATTTTAGTTACTTAATTATATACTCCCTTTGTCCCAATTTATGCGATATTTTTCGTTTCTCTAGATTCAGACAATGTAAGTTTTGACGAACATTTTAAAATGTATTTTTTTATTATATTGACATGAGAACAATTACAATTTAAAGTATTTTTTATATAGTTTTTTGAATATATATGTATATATATATATATATATATATATAAATTTTAATATTAAAATATTAAGATGATCTAATCCAATTTAGCTTTAACGATTAGTCAAATTGACTCTCGAGAAGTTGTTCTCACATCTTATTATTTTCTAGCCGGTATCGCAGCACCTGCTGCTGTAGCTGGTGCTGCAGCAGGAGTTGGTGCTGCAGCAGGCGGAGTTGGTGCTGGAGATGATCACACATTTTCCTTCTTCATGCACGATATACTTGGAGGATCAAACCCTTCAGCTATAGCTGTTACTGGAATTGTAACCAACCCTGCAACAAGCGGTCAAGTTCCGTTCGCTAAGCCTAACGGTGCAGTTTTAGCCGTAGATAACGGTGTCCCTACTAACAATGCCAACAGCGGAATTATCAGCAACAACAACGTCCCTTTCCTTACTGGCCTAAGCGGAATTACATCAAACGTTATTAATCAAAACAACGCAAACAACATCATTGGTGGAGGTTACGGTTTACCAGCAATAAATTTGCAACAATTAGGATCAGGAATTAGTTTCCAGAAGCTGATGTTTGGAACATTGACAGTATTTGACGATGAATTGACCGAAGGGCACGAGCTTAATTCGGGTTTAATAGGGAAAGCGCAAGGATTTTATGTAGCTAGTTCAGAAGATGGGTTGAGTCAGACAATGGCATTTACTGTGATGTTTAAGAGTGGAAGTTATGCTGATAGCCTTAGTTTCTTTGGTGTTCACAGAATGGGAGTTTCAGAATCACATCTTGCTGTTATGGCTGGTACTGGAAAGTACGTAAATGCTAAGGGATTTGCTACAGTTAAGACTTTTCCAGCTACAAACCAGGTTCAAGAGACAGATGGTGTACAAACTGTGCTGCTTATTACTGTGTATCTTGCTTATTAATGTGTTTTTGAGTTATTTGTAATTCTGGTGTGCTTTGCTCGGTGATTGGTTGACAAGATTTGTAACTTTGAATTTCTGTGTTTTCCTTTTTATCAATGAAGTAATTAACCATTTTTGTACATGCCTGATCCTTTATATACATGGTATCTGTGATGAGCCAACCACGAGCATTGGTTAGAGTTTAAGTTCTACGTATTGATGACCTAAAAAAATATAGTTACACACTTAGATTACTTGTAAGATAATAACATTAAAAACTCCTTACTCTTTTTAGTGTGTGTATTAAATTCTTATATTAACTATTAGTGCAGTCCTACCTTATATAAAGAGAAGGAGCAAAAAAGTGAATGAAAACATATTATTTGGGGAAAAGGGAAAACAAGAAAATAAAGATTTGAATGAAATTAGAAAAGAATTCGGGTGGAATGCTATTACAATTCTTCCAAATCAATTAGGGTAGGGGGGGGGGGGGGGGGTGTGAATAAAATAACTGAAAAATGCAAAGCAAAATAAAAAGAGAAAAAAAGAACTAAAGGGTGTGGCCTAGTGGTCAATGAAGTGAGTTGAGAATTTAAAATTTCAGATTCAAATCTCAACGGAGACAAAACCTCTAGGTGAATTTTTCTTTCCAACTCGTGGTAGATAGAATTATTTGATATATGTTGTTGGTAATGGATTAGCGGTAAAAAAATAAAAAAAGACGACTGATCTTTTAAGGGAATGTTATGGAATGGGTAGATGAGGATAAATTGTTTGGGTAATAGTGAATTTCCTAAAAAAATTAACCTTGGGTCTTAGGTGAATTCAGATATTCAGTAGCAAGTAATCAAAAAATGTTTTCCAATCCTCCTCTTTTTTTTTTCTTTTTATATTATTGTGATATTTGAGTCGAATATCAAGTTTATATATTTTTTTTGTGAAAAAAAGGTATACAACACGTTATTTTTTCAGACTTTATGCTTTTTGAACTATAAACTATTTGTTAGCAATTAAGTAATTGTTCTAAGATAGAACGTGTGTTTTAGGTAAAGAGGAAGAGAGAAAAAGATGATGAAAAATAAGAAATGTTATTCTTGCATTGTGCGTAAGGTGCAGATACATGTGCGTGTATATATTAACCACTTGTCTAACTCAATCACTTAATTCTAATCGGTTGAATATAGCGAAATGACTAATCTACCTCTAATGACTTATGTAGCACCTTTCTCAACCTCCCCTCAAGCTAGGAAATGCAAAGATGTTCAAAGCTCCTAGCTTGGAATTGAGATACTCGTGTTGAACTCGATTAAGTCCTTTTGTCAGAATTTTAGCTAGTTGGTCTCTTGTAGGAATGTATTTTGTTGTGATCAAGCCTTGTAAGATCTTTTCCCTAATAAAATGACAATCGATTTCAATATGCTTGGTACATTCATGATAAACTGGATTTGCCGCAATCTGCATAGCTGCCTTGCTGTCACTATAAACATTCACAGGCTGTTTAACTTCAATTTTCAGTTCTTTTAGTAGTCCAAGTAGCCAAATTAACTCTGCTACTATTGATGCAAGACTCCTATATTCAGCTTCTGTTGAGCTGCTGGAAACAATAGTCCGTTTCTTAGACTTTCACTCAACTAGTGACTCACCAAGTTTGACCAAATAAACAGATCTTCTAGAGTGAGGGCAGGCTGCCCAATCAGCATCATAGTATGCTGTAATTTCATTATTGCATTTGCTGGATAGAAGAATTTCTTGTCCTGGTTGTTGCTTTAGATATCTTACAATTCTAAGTGCAGCTTCCATATGAGATTTTTTAGGCTTCCATAAATATTGGCTTATGTTTGAACACCGAAGGAGATGTCTGGTCGAGTCATAGTTAAGTATATGAGTTTACCAATCAGCATTTGATATGGATTTTGATCCACTAGTTCTGCATCTTCTGAGATCACATCCTTGTCTCTTTTGACATATTCATCATACTCTCTAGTAGTTAACTTCATGTTGAAATCCAATGGAGTTATGGCAGGTTTGGCTGCTCCCAGACCTGTTTCAGAAATCAATTCTAGTGCATATTTTCTCTGATGCATTAGGATTTCTTGATTGGATCTTGCAAACTCAATGCCAAGAAAGTATTTGAGTTCACCTAAATCTTTCAATTTGAATACTTGTTGTAGACCTGTTTTAGTGTCTTCAATTAGCTTTAGGCTATCTCAAGTTATAAGCATGTCATCAACATAGACTAAAACTATGGTGGTACCTTCTAATATCTTTTTTGAAGAACAGTGAGTGATCATATTGACTCTGATGGAAGTGAGCTTTCAGTTGCCTCAGTTAACTTGGCATTCCATTTCTTGGGTGCTTGTTTTAATCCATACAAGAATTTAATAAGTCTACATACTGGTTTCCTCTACCCCTGACTGTTAAATCCTTGAGGTAAATCAATATAGATTTCATCATAGAGGTCCCCTTGAAGAAAAGCATTATATACATCCATTTGATGTATGTGCCAATGTTTAACAGCAACTATTGCTAGGACAGTCCTTACTATCTTCATTTTTACAACTAGTGAAATTTTTTCTTGGTAGTCAATTCCTTCTTTTTGGCTAAATCCTTTTGCGACCAACCTAGCTTTAAATCTTTCAACTTCTCCTGTAGCTTTTTACTTTATTTTGTAAATCCACTTGCATCCTAAGGTGATTTACCTTCAGGTAGTGGAACTATATCCCAAGTGTGATTCTTTTCTAAGGCTTCAATCTCAGCCTTCATGGCATCTATCCATCTGGGATCTTAGATAGCCTCATGGTAGTTTGCAAGTTCAAATATAGAAGAAGATGCAACAATAAAGTTTGATAGGTAGGAGAAATGTTTTTATATGTTATGAATTTAGATAAGGGATAGGGAGGATCTTGACGAATGTTTAAAGACACAAAGTCTTTCATCCAAAGTGGTGGGCTTTTGTCTCTATTTGATTTCCTCAAAGTCTCTTCTGCTGATAGAGTATGATTCTGTTAACTAGATGATTGAACTTGAATAGTATTTGAAGGTAAGGATTCAGTTGCTACCTCAAATATTGTATTATGTTGTGATGCTTCAGAGGTAGTATATTGTATTTAATCATATGATAAGTTTGGGCTTTGTTGGTTTGAATCTTCTATACCATTATGGAAATCACCAATTTCATTTATTTGAATATCATTATGACTTGGTTCAGTAACCTCAGTAGTAAACTGGTTGACTGGTTCATCTGATATTTGTTGAAAGCTGTTGGGCATGAAAATAGGTTGAACTTTGGTTTGGTTGAGAGTATTGAATGGAAAGATGTCTTCTTTGAAGATAATATCTCTCTTGACAAAGAAGGTCTTGTTGTTAATGTCATACAGGAGGTATCCTTTTTGAGAAGCTGCATATGCCATATGAATGGCTACCTTAGACCTGGGCATTAGTTTATCTTGCTCTTGAACTATTTTTGGATAGCATAAGCAAATATTTTTTATTTGAATGTTGTATGAAAGTTGAAAATAGTTGTATAATGTATGAATTGTTGTATAAAATTGTACTTAAGTTATCAATACAATCTTTTTACATAAAGTTATTGAAATGTATTAAAATTGTATTTAGAGAGAACGTTTTGATTGAAATTATAGAGAGGAAGAAACACACACCATATACAAAATATATACAAATTAGATACAAAATATACAAAAAGACATATTGTATAAAATTTGTATGCAAATTATTTTTAAGTTGGGTGATGTTGTAGATGTATCTTAACTGGGTAGAAGTAATATGAAGTTGTAGATAAGTTATAAATAAGTGTAAACTATATAATTAGTTGTATAAAATTTATTTTTAGTATGTATGTTGTTGTAGATATATCAATTGTATTAAATTTGTTTTTACACTTGTATGTTGTTGTACCATCAAATTGTATAATATTAATTGTAAGTACAATGTATCCATTTTAGTGCTGATTTAAATAGGATTCGTTAATTGTGATAGCTTAGTGAATTGAGTAAGTTAACCAATCAAGTGAAGCAGAATACTTTACTAGCCCCGCACGATAGTTATTAAAATCTTTGGACAAATTTTGATATATATCAATAAATTTATGTAAAAATATAGTATTGATAACTTAAATACAAATTTTATACAATGATTCATAAATTATACAATTATTTTTCAACTTTCATAGAACATTCAAATAAAAAATATATATAACTACAACAGAATATAATTTTATACAATTATATTACAAGTTTAGTACAATTTCGTAAGTATATGGTATGCCATGTGTTTTTCTTCTTCTTCTTCTTCGAGTTTCAATTTTGAAATTCAGCCAAAATCAAGTCTAATCTTCACCAAACACCCTAAAAATTGAGATATAAACTCCAAACAATATTCTTAATTGTTGCAACAACATCCATTGAAAGCCCAAATTCGAATTCAAAGTTTCAAAGCTTTTTAATGGCTGTCAATGGTGGAGAGTCAAACACCTGAATACTAAAAACTCTTTACTGCTCATCGTCGAGGGGGATTTTCATCCAACTTTGTACAGTAGTACAATGCTTCAACAGAGCAATTCAATGGAAAAGCCAATCATATTCAAAGAGTTCAATACCAAATTTAATTTGTGACTGGTTCAGGCATTTTGTAGCCAAAGTTTATCGTTCCGAGGTTCACAACCCACTTGATGTCCAGGCCAATCTTGCTCCCATTTAACCTATGCCCACTTTTTAAAAAAGTTTTAACCTGTACCCACTTTTTAAACAACTTCAGGCACCTTTCTCCTCCTCCTTCATTTTCTTCTTCTCCTTCTCCTTCTTCTTCTTCTTCTTCGGGTGACAATGATTTTATATGGTGGTTGTGAATATATTTTAATGTAGTTTATGATGTTCTATAATGGTGGGCTGTTATGACGTTTTATTTTTACTATTGCTTAGGGTTTCTTTTTCTTTTTTTTTTTCTTAATTGAAAAATGGGTTCATTAGATTTATTGTTGTTTTGACAAATTGATGATTAGGGTTTATTCCTGATGATATTTGGAGGCTATGTTTCAAATTTGAGCTCATTTGGAGTAGATTTAGATATTAAATCGTATATTGGATTGTTAAAATTCGAAGAACAAATTTTCGTCTCTGGGCAATT